ATATATATATATGTATATATATATATATATATATATATATATATATATATATATATATGTATATGTATATATGTATGTATACCGATGGCGTTTGATTTCTCCTTCATTCGCATTTGATTCTTTGAGAGGGGCTCGCAACTCATTTTGTCGATTCTTGCTACGGTCTGCGTGTATCGTCGGTTGCAAATTGGCTCACGTCTGCGTCGGCGTGCGGGTTTCAACGCTCTGCTTCTGCGCCCGACGGTTCATTCATTTTGTTTCGACGCTTCATTTGTTTGCGTCTACGCCCGCGCTTCTCTCCGGCCTGACAGCAACAGTCTTCTGTTTGCGTCTGCGTTCGTGCTTCTCTTCGACCCGACAACAACAGTTGTCTGCTTGTCAGGAACACGCTGCAGGTGAATGGCGGCACATCTCCTTGCTATGATGGCATTTCCTTCTTCTATGACTGAACCGCCAAAGGCCTTCTTTGTCAACGTGGTGGGTAACTCTCAAGTGGAGTCCGCAGTGGTATTTCCCTCATGCTATAAGGATTGTCGCGGGATTGTCGCGATGGTACAGATTGTCGCGATGGTACAGATGATTGTCCTTTTGTTAAGAAGAAAAGTAGAAAAGATGAAAAAGAAGCAATTTTTTTCTCTGACTCAGAAATTGCTACCCTGACGGAAAAATTCAAGTTTGCTCTTATTGGAAAATTTCAGTGGGGGCACCCACCTATGGAAGTTATCAGAAAGAGTGTTGATGATCTTAACCTGGCAAGTGGAAAGTGAGACTCATGAACGGGAGACATACGTTGATTCAACTAACCTTGGCTGAAGATTACACCATGATTTTCTCCAAAAAAATATATTAATATCGCAGGTTTATCAATGAGTTACTCAAGTGATTACCTGATTTTGACCCAAATCATAAACTCTCACTGTACCGATATGGTTTAGTCTACCTGGTTTTGACCTCATTTTTAGTGAGGTCTTAGTCTCCTACTCTTAGAACCTAGGATATTAGGAGTTCTTATTGACCATCCTAGCGAACTAGCAATGGAGCCCACCTCCCGTAGAACTTCAAGTCACTTCTTGACTCATTTTTGTGAATAACTCGCATGAGTGATTCCAAGCACTCAACTTCTAGTTATAAGGGCTAAGGACCAACATGTAGAGGGCCCGAAAATGAGTTCCTATCGGATCAAACAGCCTTAGGTGAACCCTTTGTGACTCGATTACTCGTGAACGCTGCAATTCACGCACTCACTGCACCACACACGACTTTAACTTGAATCGACTCGCCCGTCGGCGGACTCGCCCGTCGGCGAACTCGTCCGGATGACCCCGGATGACGAAACGGACTGCATGGATTCGTCCAGGACGTCGAATTTAGCTAGGAAGAACACCTGCATTGTTATGGTTTCGCGCGCGAGCCACTACCACGGATATCGATGCATATTTTTTTTCAACGATGCGCGGGCTCGGGTTCGATTCAAGCTGGACATGGGCTAAGCACGGGCTAATTACTTCAGCTCAAAAATTTCAAGATTCAAAATTTAAATTTTAAATTTATCATTTAATTTCCCCGATAAAGCTTTTCCAATTAAGCTATTCAATTCCCCTCCAAAGCTTAGCTTTGAAGTAACGGTTCGCTCACATTCGGCTATACTAATTGGCCTCGATAGAAACAGAAGGATGGATGGAAGCACGCCTGCTCGATCCCGTCTCTGCATTTCGCCTCTTCCTCCTCTGCCTCTCCCGAACTCCTGATCATCTTCCGCTCCGCTCGCTCCTGCTCCCGTCTATTTTTGTTCTCTCGTGCGATTAGCTCCGCTCGCTTCCCCCCCCCCCCCCCCCTCCACCACCCCCTCCACACCCCAACACAAACACAACCCCACTCCAACCCCCACCTCCACAAACCAACCACCATACACCACCACCTCCACATCTGCACACAAACACATCCACCAATACAAACACATCCACACACTAACACCTCCACACACCAACACATCCACAACACTGTCAACACAAATGCATCAGTACACCAACACCTCCACACACAACACCACTACCACCACCTCCACAAACAAACAATGCAACACACCAACACATCAACAAAATTACTGTCATCACCTCCACACGCACGCCGAATCCCCTCGCCTCTTCTACGAACGTCGAAACCCTCGCTCCTCTCTGCGAACGTCGAAACCCTCGCTCCTCTTTGCGAATGTCGAAGCCCTCGCCTCTCCTCTGCACTGAAATACCGAAGCTTGGCTCCCCCTTCTCCAATTTAAGTTGCAGCGCCCCAACTGCTGAAGAGATAAACAGAGGCTTCCAGCGCAGGTAAAATCTCAAAACCCACCCAATTAATTTTTTTAAAGGATCTGACTGCGAGAAAAGAATCAATCTCTTACCCCTATGAGGTTATCTATATATGATTATTGATGAGGAGCATGAAACATGAAACATTTCATCTTCAGTAATTATTTTGTTAGTGCCAAGCTTTAATTTTTTTTTTACTAATTGAGTTAACTCATTACCGGCACTGCGAATGTTAATTGCTTTACCTTGTGTCATTTGCAGAATGGTTTACTCAGATTTATACAGCTGTCCTCTTTCATGGATTCTTGTTCCCTGTTGCTTTCAACATGTTGACATACATACCTCTAAGAATATGGTTAAAGAGAATTATGTCTCCACGCCTTAAATTATTTGTTATTATTTTTCCAAAACTAATTGTGCCTTGCATTGGACGAAGCCTAGTTCAATTTGATTATGTCATATTGTCTAGATAATGTCTAAGTTATGAACTACTCTGTTTAGGCAACTGTTCTTTTTACAATTGTATTGTTGGGGTACAGATATTTCTTTTCATGCTTCATAGCTCCTATCATTTCATTTTTGATCAGTTTACTGGTTAAGATGATTCAATAATTGTGAACATGTTATTTTTGATGAATTCATACTTCAACTCTTGTTTGGCAACTGGAAGTGAGCATGAATGCATTTGACCTGTGATAGTAAAGGTGATGTGAAGAGTCTTCTTTGAAGTGGTTGACATTACTGGTTTCCATTATCAATTTGCTAGAGTTAGCATGTTTATCCTCTTCAGTTCTTACATGCCACACGATTCTGATGCATTTACTTGCTTAACACAAGGTTTTCACTTGCATACATATATAACGTCCAGTTCTTATGAGTTTACATGTCCCACATTTGGAACTTGAATACTTGCATGTGTGACAAAGGAATTCTTCTGTTGCATACTATACATTGTTTGTAGATGGTTTAAACATAATTTCTTGAGGGTTGGTCTACCTACTATTTTGGGGGCATTAAACCCATCATTTGGCGGCTTCCCTTGCTCGATACTTTTACTGTTTTTGGAGTCATTTCGGGTGCCGATTTTGGACTGAGTGCCCATTGTATAGAGCTGTTTGAAAGTGTCATTGTGGGTTGTACTTTTTGGTTCCATTTTGTGGCTTTTTTGTGTATTGTGGGTTGTCATTGTCGGTTGTACTTTTTGGTTCCGTTTCATGGCTTTTGGGCTGCACTTTGTTAGTTTATTTGGTGGTTTTTTAGCTTTATTTTTTTTTTACTCTGAATTGTGGAACATTCGGGCCGATCAAAACACTGTTTTGAAACAGATTTAAACACTCTTCTCAGCGGTTGATTTAATTATACTTTTTGAAAGAAGTTAATTTTTTTTTTAATGTCAATTTACTTGTTATTTCGTTCATTGGCTTTGTTAGTTTTGGAAGTGGGTCGGCCTTCTTCTTTTTTCGTTTGTTTTGTTATTTTTGTTAAATGGTTAAGTCATAAAGATGTGTGTTGTTGTGGAAAACACTTATTTGAGGGTTAAATGTCTTAAATCACTTTAAACACAAGTTAAAACATAGGCTTCT